AACACAATAATAGACACTAAAAATACAATGAGTTAAGAGTAACAAATATTCTCTTAACATTCAATCTAGAAGATAAAATTAGATTCTACATCATACAAATATTAAGAGTTGGAGTTTATTGTATATTAACCATCTTTTAATGCACCAGAAACAATCGCATATCTATTCAATTTTATAAAAGCAGTTTTACCAAAAGTAACAGCACAGTTTTTATAAACCAAAAGTGAAACAAGAATGAGATTGCGCCTGTCATATATGCATAAAGATAGTTCTCTAATACTAATATCTTCATACTCTCTAATTTCAGATGTAATACTCCTACTGACTTAGCTACAACTTTAGCATCAAGTCAAAAGATAAATATATATCTATATCATCAAGACTTCTGGATTCCTGAAATCCCTGCAACGAATTGCAAGCATGTTTAGTGGCTCCAGAATCTATCCATCAAGAATTAATAGATACAACCACATAACATGTCTCAATGATTAAATATACATTTTTCTATGTCACGTCATTGGTTAGACAGTTCGTCCTTGAGTGTCTTAATTAGTCGCAAAAGAAACAGTTTCTTTCGCCCTCAACATACACGGCCTTATTTCCTTTAACCTTTTGGATGCCCATGTTTTGTGCTAGCCCAGTCCTATTATTATTCTTCTACCCTTCCACTTGGGCCCAAAAGAAGATGGTATAGACTAGGTTAGATTGATATAAACGCCCATACTTTTGATTATCCCTTCATATATTACTAACTTTATAAGAATATCAACGAGTGTGAACTTAAACTGGTTCCTTATTTAGTTCACTCTAAAAGAGTCGAACGCGTTTGGTAACTAGGCAATAATCGTGTCAACTTGAAACTTACCACCCAAGTTAGTCCCATTGATCTGTAGTTAATTTTTAAATAATAAACAATCATTTTCAAAATACGATCTTTTATTGGAGTTCTTTAGGTTATCTCGATGGTATTCAAGTCTGACATAATATTTAGGCATACACTCTATTTAATCTCACCAAAACATCTTTTTGAGATTTAATATGATGCTTGAAGCAAATAAAATAATACAAATGTTAGTTTTGGATCATATTCGAGATAAACTCTAGAATGTTGCACCGAGTCATATCATTTGTCGTATTTCACTTATCAAAAATATTAATGTTCTCTTAGGTATCTTAAAGTAAAAGGATTATGTATAGGAGTAGTAAATACATTTTGTGTCCTTGCGTTGTGAGTAAAATATCTATGTTCTTTTTTCCAGTCTGTATAAATGAGGTCCAGTTATATTGAATATGTTAGCATGTAGATTAAATAGATTAGTCATAAAATCTAAATATAAAAGCATTTATGCAATAAGTAAGGTGAATTATTAATACTATCATGCATATTTTAAATTAAAATGAGTTTGTCAACCACATAGTATAATAAATTTCAATAGAATAAGAGTTCATTATAACTATTGTTGAAAAAATTTATTATCACTATTGGTGAACAATTCCTTTTAATTAATGTGGGTCCCTCAATTTCATAGCATAATAAACTACACAATCAATACGTCAATAACATATGTTATTGGAGGAGTTCGTTATTACTATTGTTGAACTTTATTTGCTATTAGGTGAGCACTTCCATTAAAATAATATGTGGGTCCCTTAACCACTGCACATGAAAAATCGGATATCCAATACGCCAATAACTTATTCGGTTGACGAAGTTCATTATTGTTACTGGCGAGAAAATCCCATCATTTCCATATCTCTTAAGACAATGCCTTGTCCATATATGAAATGATTCCCGATTATGTTTAGCCTTTCTAAAATCACCTAGTGTAGACCAATCCGTTAGGGAGCTAACACTATTAATTTTTAGATTGAGTGTATAACGTTATTAATGCTCCAACGAAAAATGAAACATTAAATATCTTGTCATTATAATCTTAGACTTTTTAAATCATTCGTGGAGCCTTATTTTTAAAGATCTAATTACAATGAACATTTAATATTTTTATTTTCATGAGGCAACCATTCTTGTAATCTTTAGACTCTCCAAATCATGCGTGGAGCCTTATTTTTGAAGATCTAATTACAATGGTTATAATAACGAAGGCCATGGGGTAATGTATAAAAATCCCCGCTCCTACTCAATTTTTAATCATTTATAATTAGGGTTTTTCACTTATTCATATACATGATATAATGCATGCAAAACGTCTTGATTTTAACTCAATTAAATTTAAAAAATATTTGGACTTTAAATGATTCACTAATATTTAATTTGAGGCACACCTTTTAAAAATAAAAATAATTTTTCAAAAATAATTTTCCATTTCCCTCTTTAAAGTGCCCTCTAATAATTAGTAATCAAATCCAATTAATTTTCATAATTTAATTAATATAAATCAAGTCATTTAAATAAATATCATAAATAGAATGTATGAATAATAATAATTAACAATTATATATTTCATACATCACATAAAGAAATAAATAAAAGACTAAAGCAATTAAAATGGCTAATGGATTTAGCTTTTAAAATTTAAAAACTATATCTATTGCAAGAAGGTCCATCATAGGCTTGTGTACACTTGCAGGAGGCTGGTACGCGCCTGGAGAAGCAAAACAGCATTTTGGACGCACCCGAAGGGACCTATACGTGCTGGTACGCGCCTGAGGGGTGTTGTAATGCATGGCACGCACCTCCATGCGTTTGCACGTGCCTGGGGGGTGCTGGAGCGCGTGGCATGCGCTGGCAGTGGATGGCTATGTCTAGCATGTGCTCCTCACCCACCAAGTTGGTAGGCGCTCCATCCTTCAATGAAGGGGCGCCGCACTGGATTATGCCTCTGCTGCCCTTTGATTGAATGCTTGTGGATCCGGGTGCACGGTACTTCGATGTACCATGCCACACCGGATCCAGGGGCCATCCTCCAGCGCCGCCCTAGCCGTGGGTGGCACTCCGCCTGCCGGAAATTCGCTGGAAAATCTAAAAAAATAAAAATAAAAAATTCCAGAATGCTTTATTTAGCCCAAAAAATTCCAGAAAAATTTCAAAATATTTTAGAAAATTCTTAAAGCCAAATTAAACCCTCTTGGACCTTTTTAAAGTTTCGTAGTATTTTTTGATGAAGATTACATGGTTTTAAATAAATTTTACACTTCAAATACAATGAAAAAAAATAAATTACATAATTGAACTTTCAAATGGTTAAATCAAAACCTTAATTACATTTATCCAAAAATAAAATTACATTTAATTAACCTATAAACTTCATCTATCGCTGAAGCATACATCATCATTATCCAATCATAAATATATATACATCATCATCATATATCAATATATATACATATATAAATTTGAATCCATGAATGATGATTTTCTTCAATAAAAAATATGATCTCTAGACATGAATCAAATCTAGCTCTGATACCACTATTGGGGAAACGTAAGTTTCTAAAACTTTATGAAAGATTTTCAAATAAACATCCTGATTCATGTGTAGAGACAAGTTTTAGCATGAAGAATATGATGATTTATTCAATTAGAGATATAAAGCTTACATCAAGGTTTGAGTTAACATTATATCTCTCCTCTAAAGTGAATGTTCTCATTTATTGTAGATCCCTTAGTTAGATGGTTCTTCCTTGGATTTCCATCTTCTTGGTAATGATCTTACCTTTAGGATTCACCCATAAGCCTCCATGAATGACCTTGGAGAGCTTAGATTGTGGAAGCCTCCATCAAATGAGAACACTAACCCTAAAATCCGAGAGAGAGAATAACTTTTCTTGTCTTCTTAAAAATTATTGCAAAAGGCGTAACCTAAAATATGCATGGACTCGTTGTATGTATAGGCAAAATAAATATAATAATTGAAGATAATATATTTTTCTCAGTCTCTAAAATTCACATGATATTTCAAATCTAATGGGCCTCCAATATTAAGTTGGGCTATGAGTGATAATTCTTTGGGCTTATTATTTTCTTAGCTATAATGAATTGATAATTAACACGGTCTATTATACCATGGACCTAATTCAATTAATTAATAAATTAATTTGTATTCCACTAAAAGAAATTAATTGAACTCTAATTAAATAATTGACACGGTCAATGTTGTATTTTGAGTCCTCTATACATAATTAGTTATCGGATATATAAAGCCATCAATCTGACTGCTAAATTAATATATTTATTTTGCTACTTTTGATTATTTCTGGCTTGATCACAACAAAATTTTTGTTTGACAAAAATAATAATTTAAATATATAAATATATAGAAAATCATTTTGTCTAAAAATACACGAAGGCCTTCGAATTTAGTTTGTGATCAAGCATAATCAATACAATATAAATATAAGTAGCAATGATGCAAATATTGAAAGTATAACCCTTTAATTATTAATTACATAATTACCCAAAGTATCGGTCTATGGATTCCGAAGAATCCGCTGAACAAATCAAAGTAATTAGTAATTAATAAAAGGGTCTATACTTCTCTTATGCTAAAGAGTCAAATGATATGACACTATCTCAACCTAACGCGAATCCGGTTCAAGTCTTATTTAATAATAAGTCCATCCATAATTACCGACTATGAATAATTTATGATTACTATTTATGTTCATGTATTGATCGCCATCACATACATATAAATATCTCTTGTAATCAAGTTGACACTATCAATTCCATAATGAATCGAAACATAATACATTAAATTCACCAATTGTATAAAGTATAAATATTTCAGATATGTTAGGAGCATATGTCACTCTAATCTAAATATGAATTTACTATGACAGGGCATACAAATCCCAACAATTGGACCAGCTTGTAATGCTGTCATAAAATTTCAGGCATTCAACTGACTCTACCGGGCTAGACGAGCTAGCTCGATCAACGCGTACAGTTCTTGAAAGTACTTTTCTTCCATAGCCAGCTCTAGAATTATGGAATATGAGGCTTGAACTTAAATGATGCAAGTTGTTTGCCTGTTCTTCACTATCAAAAATAAATAAAAAATAATATATAATTAATTAGTGCATGCCAACCAAATAAATAAATTATTACAAAGTATATTTTTATTGAATTACCAAAGTCACAAAAAGGTTACAATGTTTTGAAATCAATCAAATGAAATTGGTATGGAAAAGCAAACAACCACATTGTCAACAAAAAATGAAATCAAATAAAAAATAAAAAATTTGATGGATTGAAGCACTCAAGCTGCAGATATAATGAACAGACTAAAATGGATGAGGGTAAATTATTTATGCGTGATAGTAACCAAGAACGGAGTATATGGTTTGAACTATGGTGAGAGCAAAGAGGAAAATGGCAGCAATGACAGACAGAATAGCCCACGGATTTGTGAAGTAGGTGTGAAGAAGATTGGCGCGCCACTTGTGCAGCCGCTTGCTACAGTAGTTAGTGACCTCCTTGTGCACCTCATTGAGGCTGCCGTTCGGGTCGGGTGTGACATCTTTAGAGAGAGTGTTGAATAGGTTTGTCACAGCTTTGTCACTTCCGATGGCATTCTGGATGATACCTTTGGAGTTTAAATGGATAACGTCCCTGACAGTGTCGATGAGGCTGTCCATGAAGAAGATATAGGAGGTCACCTCATTCCCTATCCCGACATGGTACCTCTCAAACGCTATCAGGTTGAGAAACAACGTCTCTGTCACGTCGTCCACCACAATGCTAGGTAGTCTTAGTTTTCCGCCATGGAATGAGATGTCTTTGAGGCTTACACTTTCACTTTTCCCGAATCTGATTCCGGCTTCGTTGAGCTCAGACGCGGACCGGATGATGTCATGATCCTCATCACCACTCGAAGAGGATGAGCATATTGACCAATTCTTCACATTAACAAACTTATGTGTTTTCCGACTTTTCTTAGGGGTTTCTCCCCAGAGCAGGCTCTTCCTATACACATCCAATACATGCAAACATTTTCCCAATTTGTTTTTCGTGAGGGAGCAGAAATTGAGTATGAGCACATTGACCAACTCTTCATGTTCCTGCATTTGAGTAAACTTCTTTTTATTGTCAGAAAAAAAATAATAATAAATAAACTAATGGCCTATTTTTTAATTTTTTTTGGGTAAGTAACTAATGTCCTATTTGGTTTAGTATATATATATATATATATATATATATATATATATATATATAATTCTTGACAACTTAGAAAACAAGAAAATGGGTTTAGATAATTATAAAAGACAAATTTCTTGTAAAATGGGCATTTTTAACAGAGCATAGGACTGGCAAGTTTGGTTCAGTTTTGTGTTTTTGATAACTGAAAACCAAATTGTACTAAATTTTTTTTTTTTTTTTTACATCCATTTTGCCCATTTGCAAACTCGAACTTCAACATTCACTTTGAGAGGCAACAGGGCTCTTGGTGTACAAAAAAAAAATCTACATGGCTGACAGTCTTTTAGAATTTTTTTTTTTTTTTTTTTTTTTTTGAAAAACTCAATTTAAAAAAAGGCATGTTTTTGGAGGATTGTCTTTTATAATTATACCAAGCAACTGTTTTCAGAAATATTCAATGAATTTAGTTTTCAGTTATCTAAAAAACACAAAATTGTTATGAAAAAACTGAACGTACCAACGAAGCCCTAATCTACTTAGTGTTTTCTATCATGTTCTTTGCATAAGTATTAAAACATAAATATAAAAGCGAGAGTAATTATAATCACCATAGCTTTCTCATCTTGAACCGCAAGCAGCCTACTGAGAACCAGCATGGGCAATTGATTTTCAAGCATGAGCATGTCTCGCTTGATGTATGGCATTATATATAGATCTCCATGTGCGCTGAAGATGGGATCATTGTCAGCATAATCAGCCACCTTTCCATGGACGTAGCTGAAGATGGGATCATTGTCAGCCATTCTTAGAGTTGCTGCGGCGCGCAAGATTTCCAGCATGAAACAACCATCCAAAATCATCAACTGCAAGAACTCATCAGTGTTTTCTTGCCATGCTTTGTCAAGACAATCGTACGAATCTTTCAATTGTTGCACCACTTCGGCTAGAGAGTTGACATACAATTGAAGAGGTTTCTTTGACCTTTTGAGGAAATGAAGCAGAGCGCGTTGCTTGTGCTCCTCCATAGGCTTTAAAGGCCCCTCACCATGATGGTAAGGACCAAATGATACCGTCTGAGGCCTATACGCTTTCTTGTTTAGATCTGTGACGGCAATGGGCACTTTGTAGATGGATGGCTTCTTCCATTGCTCCCTCTCTTTGTCCATCGAATTCTCTGCCAAACGATTGAGTTCATCGTTTACACTGATCACCCAGTTGTTTTGATCACCCTGCATTCTGCGTCGCGCTTCAGCTTGCTCTAGCAGTTGGAACAACCAGATTATCATGCATGCATTTTATAAGAATTTTCTTCCCATTGAGCATAAACATTTGCTTCACACCAAAGGGACTCTATAATAGATTGTCCCTCACATTGGATTAATTCTGGACACAGTCTTGACATGTGTCCTAACAGCTAGACAAATCCAACAATACAAAGTATACTAGTTCCACAAGATTCCTTTCTTGGAATGACTAAAAGCGTACGTCTTGATACTCATACTTTATGATTATGTGCGCTACTTTGATATGTGCGGCTTTGAAGTAATTGATGATCCTCCAGCAGGAAGGTATAAAGCACTATATTAATTTATTCTTTCACTCGTTTATTTTTTCTACTCTATGCTTTGCCCCTTATGTTTCCTACATACTGATAATATTTATATATGTTTTTATAGGTCAAGTTCTTAAAGTTCGTATGCCATATATATATATATATATATATATATATATATATATATATATATATTCCAAGTGGGCTCTTATTTTTTTTATAAAGGTAATCATTGTATAGATAAGAAAGAAATGTACAACAATGGGATTAACCCCAAAAACAGAAAAGAAGCTGCGAGGCCTCAAGCCGATACAAAAACAAAACCTAGGCCTAGCTACAAAAGACGAAAAAAAAACCACACACACACACACACAATGACACTCTTCCGAAACAGAGCCTCCAAAAAAGTCACCTTAGAAGCATCTACACAACTTGTATTTAATTTTATTTATTTATTTATTTTTTTTAACCACGCAAATAAAACACTAGAAACCCAACAAGAGTACATAATTCATGCATCTCAAAGAGATGATCAGGAAGACATACAACAAACACAGAACATACCATCCACCCATAGAACAGAACTATGGTAACATAGCATAATGACAACTTCCATATTGCTGCACCACTTGAAGGCATTAGTCTCCTTTTGGGCTTGGCCGTATAGCAGGGGTACTAAAACCCATGCCAAGCCAGTTAGAAAAACATCTTTAATTCGACAACCCAGTACAAGTTGGGCTTTCCTTAGGATTAACCCATCTACATGAAGAAGATCCAGATCATTTTGATTGCTATGTAGCAAAGTTGGGCTTAAACCTGGGACCCTTTTATAATCAGACCCATGTTGCATCACCATCCACACAACTAGTACAGTGGGTTCTAGAAGTTTACGATCCTTTGGTTGCATGACGGCTACGCCAGGGAAGACAAACCAGGACTTTGAATTTGAGTTTGACGCCGTAACCTGACACGAAACAGAGTAGCACAAAGCTTGAGGACGTCGTCGGAACACCAGAATCCAAATCGGAGAGTACTAAAATTTTGCCGGCAAGCCTCCTTCAACACCCAACCACAATCCATAGGCCACAGCTACTAGTTTAGATACATAACTGTTATTGGATCGGACCGCCATGGGAACTAGAGAGAAGAACCCCTCAGATAGAGAGAGAAGGAGGAAGACAAGCACCGGCAACTAAAAGCAAAAAAGCACAGAAAAAACATGAGAAATAAACAGGAAACGAAGGAGAGTAGAGCAATATCCCGATTAAAAGGAAAGATCAGCATAAGTTGGTTACCGATTCTTCCAAGGCGCAAAAACCCCAATTTTACAAGCCTCCGCTCCCATGTGCCCCTCCGCCTATACAACCTACAAGAGCTACCGACTGGAGAAGAGATGGAAGCCATCTCAGATAAATCACACCTTCTTGGAGAAATCTCCAAATTCTGATAAACAGAGGACCTCGACTTAGCGAGGAGCAGACAAAACCCCACATCTATACAACTTGTAAGGGAGCTCAAAACATAAACGTCACCAGAGACCATTTAGATACTAAAATTACTAAGTACATCAGGGATCAACCACCACCTCAAGAGAACCTAAAAGATCCAAATTAAAAGCAGTTATTCCACAAAAGGATGCAACATCAACACCTGGAATCATTAACCATTAAGGGCGCAGACATTGCTGTATTTTGAAACTACTTGAAGGAAGAAAAAGATAGATCATAGAATACAGGATATCATCCTCCGAGCCAAAATTTTCATTTCCCCCTCTTATTCTTTTATTGCCGTATTAATTAATGCTTCTGTTCCCAGCTGAAGAGTCCAAATGATGTGGTCTCCCCTCAAGAAAGGGAGGAGATTCAGTGTTCGAGTATGCTAGGGGCAATATTATGAGTTTGTGTGCTCATATATTTAAAACATAATAATAAAATATAATTAAAAAAAATCTAGAGTTCCTTCCCTTCAAATTACAATAAATTGACCAAGCATACACGCACAATCCTATTATTAACAACCATCTGCTCTATAACGAAAATGTATTGGTAAAAAAACATTATTTCCATTCCTTCCAACCAAGAAAAAAAAAAATTGTCACTCTATCTATCATGTCTACTATCCATTCCATTCAGCCAACAAAAAATGGGAGAGACACATTTCCTTAGGGATGCCTCATCCGTCCCCCTCCCTCTCTCTTCCATCCATTTTTTCATCCTTTCAACCAAACCAAGCAAAATTTAAATCTTTCAACACAATTCTTCATATGTGGCCTTCTTTTGGTCAAACACCTGTTTTAATTTTAATTATTAGAGTGACAGTGAGGTTTGAATACAAGACTTTGTTTGCTATCATGTAAACAACCATCTACTCTAAAAGAATAAGTTGGCACTGCCAGTTGTTCCTCGACGGTATGTCATTTAGTTACTTAGAGAGTTGCAATTAGGGGGATAAAGTACCATCTGCACACATGTTGGCAGAATTTCCATATATGGTTAAAGAATGGGCATTTAAAGAAAAGGTGGGATATAGACTTTGCAATTGCGTTTCACTTGTTGCCACATTGTACGTGTTTGGCCTTATAAAAATAATTGTCCTTTATAGGGGAACTGAAAAGTGTGGGCGTGCCAGGATCTGTTGTCATTACAAGATTCTAGTAGAAACTTACAAGATCAGGCAATTGTGAGAAGGACTGGAATGACCACCTTCAAGGGCTCTTTTTGCCTTGAAAAAAAGACTTGTGGAGTTTTTTTTATAGCTAATTGGAAAGAAATTAAATTAGTATAAGTGCAGGACTTGAAAGAAAACAAATTGGACATTACTTGCTAGACAGTAAAGGAACGAAGTGCATGACTGTAATTAAACATTATATAAATACATTGTAGGGAATGTGAAGATACATGAATTGAGATTGAAAAAAGAAAAATATTATGTTAAGATTGTTGTGTGTGTTGAACAGAATTTGTTTGGTGCATATAAGTATCCTATGTATAGAATTTTTCTTGTAACAGTTGGAGACGGTGGTTTCAATCGTCAAAGGAAATAATTCCCATAACAATGCATATCATCATGGACATATTCAAGGCAATAGCTCTAGAATTATTTCCTCCAGACACTCACAAAATCTACCCATTAAGCAAGGGTCTCGATCTCTAGAAGAGTACTTGAAAGATTTCAAATCCATTTGTAATAATCTCGCTGGCATCAAAAAACTAGTTTTGGAACTCGACAAGGTGTTCCAATTCATTCGTGGTTTGGGTCCAAAATATATAGATTTCCTTGTGGCTATGCTTACCAAACCCCCATATCTAACATTTAGTCAGTTCATATTAGACCTTTAAGGCCATGATAAACAATTGTTGGCTACACAAAAAAAGACGCACTTGGAGCATGCGCAAGCCTTCTTTGGACAACATGGTGGAGGTCGAAATGACCGAGGGGTAGAGGTTTCACACCTGCTGGGCATTACAATGCTCAGAATGGAAGTCAAAACCCTCGGAACAACAACTATAATCAAGGACAGTCTAGTAACAACACTAATCAATCAAAAGAATTAAATCCTTCGGGCTAACAGCAACAACTTCCCAACAATGCAAACAATAATGGTAAAGTCACCTGTCAAATTTGTGGGAGATCAAATCACCTAGCTATTGATTGTTGATACATGTTTGATTATTCGTACCAGAAGATGTTCCTCAAGCCCTTGTTGCTCTTGCTCTTAATAATTCAAATGATCAATCCTTTTATGTTAATTCTGGAGCTACCTCACACATGACCAATAATGCAGGTAAACTATCTTACATAAAACCATATGGTGGAAGTGATGTAATTTATTTTGAAAATGAAAATAGTTTACCTATATGTCACATTGGTAATGCTCGTGTCACTACAAAAAAAAAAAAGGAAAATTAAATTTGAAAGATGTGCTTGTGGTTCCTGACTTGAAAAAGAACTTATTATCTGTTGGGAAATTTACTTCAGACAATTTATGTACTTTTGAATTTACCTCATCTGACTTTGTTGTCAAAGATCAAAACCAAAGAACGATAGCTAATAAATGCTGAAATTTGCACATTTCAACCTTAATCTTGAGTATATTAGAACCTTATTCTATCTTTATTTTCTAGTTTTGGTGTTATTTTGTGGTTTTCCCCTTTTCAAGTGCATAAGGTTGAATTCAACTAACTCTGTTTTTTTAGAGCCTTGTGAGAGTCAGCCAAAGTCTTGGTAAGAAGCCGGAGCAAAAAGGAAGCTGAGCTGAAAAATTCCAAGTTGTGATCGATCGAACCAATATCTATGATCGATCTTATCAGATCAATCCAGCAAAAAGCCTTGAAAGATCGAAGACCTTGTCCTTATCCAAATAAATATCTTCCAACAACCTGTGATCGATCCAGCCGAGGCCATAATTGATAGAGCATTTTATCCCTATCCATATAAATATCAAGAACTTTGTCCTTATCCACGTAAATATCTTCAACAACCCGTGATCGATTGAACCCTTCCTATGATTGACCGAACTTGCCTTGAAAGTTGCGAAAATCAAAATTTAAGCCTTCATTCAAGGTAACTTGGGGTGCAATCATTTAGGTGTCATTATGTATGTGGTCTTACCAATTTGAGGTCACAAAAGCCACTTATATAAGGAGGATTAGCCTAATTTGGTAAGGAGGTTGGACGTTTGGTAAAGATTAGAGATTGGAATTAGGATATTTTGGGACATACTCTCTCTACATTCATACTCTCTCTCTAGAGTTTCAACCAAGGAAGAATAAGAAGATGATGAACCAAAGCTTGGAGAT